AAGCATACAATGTGAGGCGCATGATAGGCCTTGCGTCATACAAATTCTGTCAAACGTGCGCTTACGTTTGTGTGACGCTAGCACTGACACATCTTGATAACAGCACGAGAACAATGACGAGGTACTAATTTCGGTCTGTCACTCCCAGAAAAGGGTACTTGTAGGTGCCATGTGGAGGATGACAGGCACAGATACAGGATCGAAAGAAGATGTTGAACAAGCTAGTTTTATCATGACTGCGAAACCAGGCAAGACGAAACCAAAAGGAATGTTCACTGACAATTTCTGCATGTAGAAGGCTCCAGTACTGAAAGATTCCTCTTTGGAGCAAACGCGGACATGAATACACTCTGTACACTTCGGCACGAAGTTACCCTCATGTCAATCTCCATCCATGCAATCTGAAGAGCACGTTTCAGAGAAACCAGAGTCTCATTAGAGCAACGCAGGCTGGTTCACGAACTGACCACAATTTGTAGTCAAGTACAGATTTACGAATACAGGGGCTAAGAGTGATGAAGTCCTTAGCGTTGGTCTAGAAACATGCTGAGCAAATCTCACTGTGCGCTTCCTGTTGAATGGTGGTCCACTAATATGTTATCCAAGTATGTGACGGCGTCCTGATACCGTGTGGCACAAAAATCCGCGGCATCCTGCCGTCTGAAGTGACCACCTCCCAGACCATCACGGAAGCCGGGTGATCCTTTCCTTCTGAATGCCGATTTTTGTTTTTGGCGTCTTGAACATGGTGTTCCTTGAATTTGTCGAAAATCTAGCTTTACGGTGAAAGGTTAATCTTCGAGAAAAAGCATGGTTTTCGAAAATCAAGTAGTCCTCGGTACCTATAGTTGGCTCAGCTTTATGTCGTCCATAGAAGTCTTTTTGTGCATTCTCGTGTTGGGGTTCCTTGTTTCACATGTCGGAGATGATCCTGCTACTGATGGACAGTTCAAAAGCCACTCACCGAAGCTTCTGTGATAGTTTCGACAAACGCGTTCCGGATGATATTTCGAATTTTTTGAGCGTTGGCAATAGCGGCTTTACCACTCCTACGACAGTCCTGGGTGCTGTTGGTAAAAGCTCCTCCATGCGAAGACGATTGGTTCAACGTCGACGCTGCTGCGACTCGCGTATTCGAACATCTTTGATCATGGGAGCTCATACGCGGCACGCCTCGCGTGCATGGACGACCGCCTTCGTCTTGAAATAGCTTTTATCCGGGTTTGTAATACTTCGAGAATTCGCGCAATCCGCTGGTCACCTTTTCACAACCGTACCGTTACTCCATCAGAGTATTGTAGGTCATGTAGGCACGATTTGTTGTGGTACAAGTTCGTCGCTCAGATATGTCGTGATATTAGTTTGTCCCGCCTAGTGACTGAAGCTCTCACTGGGTGAAAAAAATGGGTGCAGATCGTTTGCTCAATTAAGTTTTACAGCTTATGTTTCTGTATGACACACATAAGCCACTTACCAAAGCGCAATTACCCACCACAACAGCCGAAAACAATGACAGCGAAATATATTCAAGGTCTTCCCCCCCCCCTCCTCGATCCTGTTCATGTTCTTGAAACATCCACCGATTTCAAGTTCTTGATTGTTGTTCTTGATTGTCGAATAATAATCTATGTGGGTTGCCTTATCTGCTTTTTACAATTACATACAAAGCTAGAGCCCATGAGTTTGTTCTCTATGCAGATGCCATGGCTATGATAGAAGATGCTTTGATTTCTTAGCATTTGATTGTCTAACTCGTTTATTTTTCCTATGCTTTTTCGTGATACAGTCACATAACGAAGAGTTGTGGTATTTCAGTTACAACATTGCAAATTGATGTGTCTCTGAGTTCTCGAATTGATCCAAGTAGGTACAAAGCACATCATGTTTCGTTAGAGTGAGATAACAAATTTTCTTTTGAGGCTGTCTGGAACTGTAGCTTACATATGTCTTGCTGCGGTTCTCTCTTTCTTATAAACATGGTGGACGTAAAGATAAACAAATGTTCTAATTCCAGACGTTCAACGAATAGTCTGATTTGTGTAAATGGCAGTTTTGATTTTTATGGTTTGGTAAAGCAAAATTTGTCAAATCTTTATTATTAATAGCATATTCACCTAAAACTCAAGTGAAAGTGACATGTCTTGTTTCATATGGAAAAACAATATATCACATCATCATTAGAACTTGTCCATGAGATCTTCACTCTTTATGCTACCTTTCTTCTCTGGTAATGCAGCCGCATGTACCTAAAAGGGGTTACTCGTATTGAATTTCTGCGGATCAAAAGTATGACTTACTTTATGACCCGTCCATTCTGCGGCTTCACCCTTTGCAACAAATACAAATGGAGCGTTTACTGCTACTACAATAACGCTTAATCCGAGGAATAAACGACTCCACTGAAAGGGTAAAATATTTTTGGAGGTTAAAATTTTATTGGAGATTATGCATACCTGTTCTGGAGTATTATCTGGACATACAAAATTAATAGCTACAGGTATCAAAAGAACGTTGAACGAGGTTAAAAATGAGATCACTGACATCACAAAATGTGAATATTGTCCTGCTACCTGCAAGGAAATAATAGGGTAAAAAAACCCAATTTTGATTCATATAGTTTTGTAAATGACGAAAAAAAAGACATACCACTTGTGCACATTTTATAATTCCTACTACATTGATACCACTGAATACGATTGCGGCTGTGTAAATACTTTGAGCTATTCGAGCTTCTCTAAGCTGAAAAATACAAAAATTAAATATTTTTATTCATTGTAGCGAATTTCATTTCCTGCTTGTTTTATTTTTTCTGCTCAAAATTTGCATTTTTTTCTTTTGAGAAATATCTCAGAAGCTTCTGTAACTCGACAAAAAGCCCATTTTATCTTTTGGCTAGAATAAATTGCTTACATTCGCAAGTGTAACTATACATATGGCCATCATTCCTTGTGATAATGCAGCAAAAAAGATAAATCGCCATTTTCCAGAAATGCAAGTGGCTTTGTCCGAAATTGGACCTATTGCAAATTTTACTATAGCTGAGAGAATATGAGGCAATGCGGTGGCGAATCCTGTCGACGCGATGCCTAAGTGAAGAACCTGGAAAATTTGAGATTCAGGAAAATTCTGATCTTCGCTCAAAGTATAGTAACCACCTTATTAATGTAAGTAGGACCATACATCAAAAAAATTTGAAATGCAAGATTTCCGCCCATAACCGAAAACCATACGCCGAGTATACATGGATCAGTAAAGATGGCTCTGAAATTGGCAGGTTGGTTAGAGTAGCTTTCAATTATCAGAGGGAAATACCTATAAGGAATTCGCTGCTTCTTTTCATAGCTTTTGCCATAGGAAATTTTCGCTAGTTCTTTGGGACCAACATTTCTGTAAAGCATTTGGTTAAAAGAATTTAGGAAATTTTGAAAATGATTTCTAGTACTTAAAGTTTAATAAGTTGTAATTGAGTGCTTACTTGTGATCTGCTGGATCATCTGTATAGAAGAAGTGATAAGTGAGAAATATCAATGCTGAGAGTAGTCCCTAAAAGAAAATTTTTGATTTTTCAGGAAATTTCTAATAAAAAATGCTATCTCTTTACCTGTAAGTAAAATACTGCAGGCCATCCGAATCGACTTTCACATAAGAATCCAGAAACTGGCATAGTAAGTATGTTGCAGAACTGAAGAAGGGTCATTCAAATTTATTGTGCTCTCAAAACCCTGCGCGAGTCGCGGAAAAATACCTGTACGTGACATGATAGGATGGCTATGAATGTACCAGTAGCTTTTAATGTCGACCATTGCGCTGGTGCAATACCTGTCATAGGAAATGATAGAGCAGTGCCTACACCCTGAAGTTGTCTTTTTAAGGGTGGGATTTCCTTTTTTTACTTATTTTTGCAGCTTACTTGTAATACTCGCATAATAAATACGGCTGTAAATCCATATCTAACCGCAAAAGGAAAGAACAAAGTCGAAACCGTTGTTAGAAGACCATTGACTGCAACAGCCGACCTGAGAGCAAATTTTGATGATTTTTTCTGGGCGATAGCGATAGAATCTGACTTCAAAAATAGTGCATACCGTAATCCGAGTTTTTGAATGAGCAACGAGTTTGGCACAGTGCCAAGAATGCAACCTATAGCAATAGCCGAGAACAGCGAGTTCGTATGTTTGCTAGAGTCCAACCAGTGTACTAAAAACCAGATTTTTGATTTATGAAGAGGTTCAAAAAAATGGAACTTGTCGAAGAAATTCTTTTTTTTT